ACTAATTTCAAGTGTCTCATTAGCTTCCATGGATTATATTATCATCTCTATGCAGTTGACTCTCAGACTTCCATTCTTATGTCTCCAGCTGCCTAATGGGATATCTCAACCTGATTATTTCACAGGCATCTTAAACTCAACATACCCCAAAGTGAACTCAGCAGCTTTCCCTTCTAAACCCTTTCCTCTTTTAACTTCCCTATTAGTATCCATGGCAACATAAATCTCCAAGTTACCCAGGCTTGCAACCCAGGTGTCATTCTAGACACTCCATTCTCACCCTCCATATCCAATCATGTGTGCAGTCCTGTTGTCCTCTTCACCTTGGTAACATCTCTTGTATACTCCTCCTCTGACACTGGAAGCACCTTTATCTAGACCTCCATCATCTCACGCCTGGGCTACTGCAATAGACTGATGGGTGGTCTCCCTGCCTCAAATCTCTTTCCACTCCAGTATGCCCAACCACTCAACTGTCAAACTGATCTTCCTAAAAATGCCAAAATCTAACCATGTCACCCCTGTTCTGCTCAACAATAGCTTCCAGGATTAAACATAAAATCCGGTTTGGCCTTTAAAACCTGGATCCTTCCTACCTTCTCAGTCTTCTTACACCTTAATCTTCTCTAAGTACTTAGCAATCTAGTGACAACTGGCCTTCTTGCTATTCTTCCTGTAAAACACTTTGTACCCCAGACCTGGGCATTTTCACTTGCTGTCCCCCATGCCCTGAATTCTCTCCTATCTCATCAGTGACTTCCCTCTGAGATTATCTCTAATTTATACTGCCTTTATCTTGTTTGTACTTTGCTTTTTGCATGACAGCCTCTCCCTTTTAGAGCAAGAGTACTTTGAGAGCAGGGATTATTTTTCCCCCCTCCCTTTCTTTGTATCCCCAGCTCTGCCTGGGTGCCTAGCACACAGCAGACACTTAATAATTGACTTAACTTTCCTTCCCTCCTTTTTCAGGACATGAGGCACTTAAAATCCTACTCCTCATTAAGGCTCATCTACTTGCCACCTTGATTCTATCTCTTCCCAACTCCACTAGAACAAGTTACCATAGCATTTTTCTATCATGCATTCTAAACCTCTTCCTCTCCTCTAGCTCCATCTCCCTCTTTTGATTATTTACTCTATCCACTTCAACTCTCTATGCTGTTTCATGGTGAAACTTTCTGAAAAAGCTGTTCTCACCACTCTTTCTTCAACCCCTTGCAATTTGGCTTTCTTTGTCCCCTTCATTCTTCTGCAATTGCTTTCTCAAAGGGTTGCTACACAACCAATAATCTCAAAATCCTATTATCCCCATTGAATGAACCTCTCCCACCATCTTAGTTTCAAAGACACCATCATCCTTTGTTCCTCCTCTTTCTGGACCCCTTAATACGTATACTCCAAGGCATAATACATAGCCTTTATTTCCATGGCTCCATTGCTTGGCACACCTGTACCTCAAAATTCCTACAGGACTCTTCCATCTGGACTTCCCATTGAATTTTCATGTTCAACTTGTCAAAACCACGTCTTCTCTACTACCAGCTCATCCTGGAGGTTCCTTTAGTTTCTGGTGCCTTCTTACCCTCGAACACCTTAACACAACTATGGCCTGTTCATGCTGAACATTTTCTCCATAAAGTTCATCTCCATTCTCCTCCTAACCCTGACTTTCTGGACTTCAAAATTATGCCTTCTCTAGTGCTGACAAACCCTGAAACTTCTCTGTGTCTGGGGACTCCTTGCTGATCAGTTCTGTGGCCAGGTCACCCTGAAACTTTCTTAAGACCTGCCCTTTACTCCCATTCCTGAGTTATTTCTGGACTCTGTTTGTGGAAAGGTACAGGCTGGCTCAACTTCAAAAAAATGCCCCAGTGTGGGGTACTTCCCCAACACTGCTTTTCCAGCTTCTGTTTGTGTTGCCTTCCCCCTTTATAATGTGAGCCCCCTTGAGGGCAGGGACTGTCCTTTTTTATGCTTATTTGCATTTCCAGTGCCTAAGTAAGCATATTAAGAACATATTAAGCATTTAATACTTATTTCCTTCCTTCCACAGAAACTTTTTTTTCCTATAGATTCATTTCTCTTTTACCATTAACGACCAGCACCACCAGTATCCCATGTTTGAAACCTTAATGTGAACTCTTCCCTCTTCTTCCCTATTCCTATTAAGTCACTGAATTCTTTCAATCATACCCCAACACCTCACATCTATTATATCTTCTTTTTTGATACCACCAATGGCTATCATTCCCTACCATTTGCACGGACTATTTCAACAGCCTCCTAACACACCTTCCTGTTTCCCCCCTACTCACAATGCTAATAACTTTATTATTCACTGGTCATAGTCTCCTCAAAGGCCCTACCATAAACAGAATATATTTCTACTCTAGTAAGGCATTTTAGGCACTTCCCAGCCTTATCTCATAAGAACAAATCTCATCCATGCACTTCATGCTCTAGCCAAGCCTAACTCTTGTGGTTCCACTTACATATTTCCAGGCTCTTGCTTGATGAATTCCTATGAACACTACTAACTCAATGTTGTTTCTTCCAGGAGGCAATCCCTCCACTTGCAATTACACCCTATAACGACCCCCCCCCGCAGTTCAGATTACATTTCACTCATGTCTTTCATGCAATAATTGTATTGTTTGTAATGTTGTACATGTCACGAGCTGATACTATACTTCAAACTTTATTAGAACTGGTGATATTTTATCTATATGTCTTATTGTACCACTTCAGCTAGAAGAGACAAAAACACAACACTGAAGTGCGTAAGGAAAAGAGGCCCAAGTTTAACAGAATCTTGCAATTTTGAGATGTGATAGTACCAAATATATGTTCATGATAATAGCAGAGCCAACATAAGTAACTACACAAGCATTTGCGCCAGGTAAATTTTCAGTAAAAATATACAAAGTTAATGTTAAACTTGTTTTTGCCTATGACGTCATTAATTAGAGCTTAATGTATAGAAATGTGAAAAACAAAAAACAATGGTGTGATAACTTGATAGCAAATGAATTTCCTGGAGAAACAAAACCTGTTCTCATATGTAACTTTAGTATCCAATAATTCATTTATGTAGAAAAATGAATTAACCAAAAATTTGCTAGATTCTTTAAAAAAAGGAAAACAATTCACAAATCATATCAGGGAAACATATTAAAATGAAATCAATGCTAATATTAAATGAAAAATAGCAATTTACATACAGTGCTTTTAAAGGTTTACAAAATGTTTACTTACACTCAATCTCCACAACAACCCCATGAAATAATTTGCTGTTCAGTCGTTTCAGTCTCACCTGACTTTTTGTGACCCATTTGGGGTTTTCTTGGCAAAGATACTAAAATGGTTTGCCACTTCCTTCTAAAGCTTATTTTACAGATGAGGAAACTGAGGCAAACAGAGTTAAGTGATTTGCTCAGGGTTACACAGCTACGAAGTATCTGAGGAAGAGGCATCTTCCTGACTCTAGGCCCAGTACTCCATCCAAGCAGCATATGCCTTATTTTGCAAGTCAAGGAAACCAAGGTTCATCAGAGTTTAGAGGATCCGCCTTTTGATCTTGCAGAGCTGGGAATTAAACCCAAGTCTTCTGCAAGTCTAATGCACTTCATGCAACGAACAGAAAATTTTGGCCCATTAAACCTTGATGTCATTGGAAGTAAAACTTTAAGCAAATAGATTCTAAGAGTTAATCTAATGATTATTTCCCATACTTTGAGTTAGTTCAATACCTTTCTGTCTTGACAATCTAAATAAAACCTACACTGTTAAGTCTACAGCACTTAATTGAATCAATTTAAACTCTTAGGTTTTGGCTCATACTGTCTTTAAAGCCTTCTCTCCTTTTAATACTCCTAATAATAAATTTTCAAAAGATGACACCAAAGCTAAGAAGAAAAGAGTGAAAGTACTCTCACAATGGAAATTTAAACTGACTTGGGTTTTCAGAAAACCAAACTATCATATGGAAAACTTGACTTTCCCATTTTACAGATAATAACAATGAAAATAATTAGCATTTACAGAGCACTTTAATGTTTGAAAAATGCGTTACGTATGTTACCTTCATCTGATTCTCACAATTACAAGGCAAGTGCTATTTACATGTGAGGAAATAAAACCCAGAGAGATTAGGTGACTTACCCAGGGTCACACTACCAAGAAGAGGAGGCAATATTTGGACTCAGACCTTCCTGAATCCAAGTCCAGAACTATACTGAATATACCTGAAGACATCTAACTTCTGTGAGATTGAACAACATGTTTATCATGCAAGAAGGCATCACAGTGATAGATGAGCCCTTCAGTATTTTTAAGCTTCTTACAGAAGGGTGAGACGTCAAGATTCATTCCTCTCTCTTCCTATCATGGCTAAGCTTACTACATTATGTCAATTTTACAAGGGAAAAATGGTTCACTTGAAATTTAAGCCTCAAAATGAATGCTCTTATAATTTCTCGTATAAAGTATAGTCATTATTAAAAAGGTTAGGAAGTTACTTTTATTTTAAAACATTGAATTATAACTTCAGGAATCTAAAAAGGACTTGTATGGTATAAAAAATTATTGAAATTTGCACTTAAATTAAGAGAAAATAAGGCTCATATTCTTCAGGGTTTTACTAAGAATCTGCTACAAAATTCCTCATTCTGGGGCAGGAATGTATCTCGGGCATTATCGTGGTCTTAAGAAATGGCACTGGGGCAGCTAGGTGGTGCAGTGGATAGAGCACTGGCCCTGGATTCAGGAGGACCTGAGTTCAAATCCAGCCTTAGATAAATAACAATTACTAGCCGTGTGACCCTGGGCAAGTCACTTAACCTCACTGCCTAGTCAAAAAAAAAAAAGGCATTAAAACATACCAATGCTAACATCCTTCGCAAATAAACAAAAAAGTGGTTATACTTTATGAGACCCTACATTTTAAAAATAATTTATATCATATTTTAAAATGAAACTAACATATTTGGAAGTCATCTTACATCGTCAGTGTCTTTAACTCGAAGTATCTGTTCTCGAAGATCTTGTAAATCATTAAACGTGGACTGTGCTGTGATGGAGTAGACTAACGCAAAGCCTTGTCCATTTTTCATGTACAAATCTCTCATTGCCGTAAATTGTTCCTATGGTGGAGAGGAAAAGCAGTAAAATATGATACTGTCTTGACAAATGATCTAACAGTTCTAGAGTTATCAATAAAACTGCACTAATCACTAAAACTTTGATCATATACAATATTTCTTTAAAATCTGAGAAATAATATTTTATATATAAATCATACAATAGTTGAAATTAAGTATGTAACAGGAAAATACTTGAATGGGGGAAGGGGGAGAAATATCTTTATCTCCAAAAGCATTTATTTTAAATGTTAAGTATAACTTAACATCATTAGGAGTAAAGAAACTTGATAATGCTATTTACATATCTGACAGCTACCAGGTGCCAAGTATAGGGAAAACTATATCTAAGGACTATTAAGACACTAAGCCATCCCCCATAGACGACATTTACCATTTCACCCAGAAAGAAGTACAAGTCTATATGAAAGAAACAAAATTTTTCAGTCAATGAAGCATTTATTAGGTGGCTATTTAGACAAGTACTTTGATTGTGAAAGGCACAGGTGAGGTAGGTAAATGTTAGTTCCTTAGCAGAATTGTGATTCAAACCCAGCTCTTTGGACCCCAAAGTCCCATGAGTTTTACTTCTAGGTTATTTTCCCTTTTAGTAAAATGCACTCTTACTAAATAAAAATATAAAGATTCTTTTGACTTGTTTAAAAATAATTTTCTGTTCTAACACTGAGTGTCCCACCATTACTACAACATACTACGAAGAAAATATGTAAGAACATGCAAAGCACCCGTGATCATTTCCTACTTAGGGAAATCTCAGTTTAGAAAACTTTGGTTTCTGAAGCTGATAAAAACTATCTACAAATTAGAAGATAAGTCCTGGGCCATAGAGTCTGAGGCACAAAGTGCTAAAATTAGGGCATCAGTGAACTGGCTTTTTTGAGGTTTTGATAAATTTATTCCAATATGATTAGCTTCCTTTATAATCTTAAGTATTTTATGCATTTAAATACACTTTTGAGAATGGGTCCAGAGGTTTGACCTGACACTTGAACAGGTCCATGACAAAAAAGGTTTGGTCTAGTATCTTGGCTGATGTAAGAGGCAGAACTTGAACATAATTCTGACATGCACGTTCTACTACTGCATGTTGCCTCTATAAGAGATGTATGAGGAAAAATTCAGGAACAATAAAACTTTTAAAAAACATCAGTGCCATGACTGATTTAAAGAAATTTGACTATTTTAATAGCTGACTACAAAAATGGCAACATAAACAATGGTAAGGAAAAGCCTAGTTTGGTCTAGTTGATCAAGGGGATCTCTCCACAAGGAGTTCCTAATATGTATGAAATCACAGGTTTGCAAAAAAACTTCACCCAAACAATGATGAATTTGTTTGAAATATAGGAAAAACTAAAAAATAAACAACAACAAAAATACCCCATACCGTTCCTGCAGTGTCCAAGATTTCGAGCATGCATTGTTGAGCATCTACTTCAACTTGCTGTCAAAGGAAAAAAGCAAAAATAAAACCCAGTTTTATGAAAACTATTTCCATACATATGATAGTTTTTTTAAAAGTCATTCAACAAAGATTTATGAAGCATTTACTATGTGCATACCACAACAAATCCAAGAGTCCCTGTCCTCAAAGAACTTCTATTCTGTCAAGGTAAATAATATATACACATAAGCATCTACAAAAGAGGTTAAAAGTGATGGGGGAGAGTTGTTGCCATATTTTTCTATATAATCAGGAAGTTAACCAATAGCAGAAAACCAGCTAAATTTAAAAAGTATGTTAAAAGTCTTATTTACTCCTTGTATTTAGAATACTTAGGAACCATATTTAGAGCATTTTTTTAGGGGCTGGGAAGGGGAGGAAGGAAAATATTAAACACAGTATTTCCTTTCTTTTCATATTATGAGCTCTTTATCTAGAGTGAGCATGAGAAAGCTGTCTAGAAAATTATAATTAAACAACAGTTAAAAATAATGGGGAGGGAGACATAAGAAAACAGTTGCTAGGTGGTCAAAATGCCAGATCTTCACTAATTATAAACAATGAGTTGTTAATACAGCATGAAGACAATAGCACAATCCACCTTCAGCAGGAATTACACAGCATTTAGCTATTTTATACAGCTTATTATTTGCCAGTTAAATCATGCAGAACATATGTATTTAAAGATCTACTATCCAAGTTAGGTTAACCATTATTAGTGTTTCTGATGGAGCAGTATTGATACTTCGAAGGAAAAATCTCCCTAAGTACCCAAATTATAAAAAAATATAAAACCATTTTTAAAAGTCATTCTATCATTAAAGCAAGGTTTTACTGATAGGTTCACTACCCCATAATCAAATTCTGTTCATGCTGCTACCCTTACATATTCTTTTATTTCTTTGCAAGATACTTAAGCATTTCCCTTCTCATCCCAAAGGCAGATCATTGGTAGAAAAGGAGGCAGTTAGTGAACAGCAACTACCCAATGAACCCTATTGCTACCACTGCTCCCCTTTCTCCTTAAAAAAGTACCCTTGGGTCCTGTAGCAGCTATGGAAGGAAGAGTAGCTTTTTATTTTTTTGGCTAGGAAATGGGGTTAAGTGACTTGCCCAGGTCACACAGTTAGTGTTATGTGTCTGAGGCTGGATTTGAACTCAGGTCCTCCTGAATCCAGGGCTGGTGCTCTATCCACTGCACCACCTAGCTGCCCAGGAAGAATAACTTTTAAGCATTTCCTGACTTATTTATTCCTTCAAACATTCATTAAGCACCTATGTGTCAGGTGCTGTATAAAATAAGCTAAACTGGGTGTTGAACAATTCCTGCTAACAACAGTGATATTGTTTTTTTCAGGTTGTACTGACAACTCAGGCTGTTTACACAATTGGTGAAGATTTGTGACTCTGATCACCTAGCAATGTCCTTGCCAAAACGAAACCATTCCTGCTTCAAGGAGCTTACATTTTACTGGTTTTGTGTACGTACATAAATGTGAAAGGGACACAAGACAACATGTATACATTTAAGGAAATTCAAAATAATTTTCCAGAGGGTGGGAGGTGGGCAGGGGAAGGACACAATCAACTGAAGGACAGCACGACAGGCAATGTACAAAGGTGGGGGGAAGAATTCAGTTTTTGTTATCAGATATTTTAGATCCACTTCTCACCACCTCCCCCCACCCCCCATTCTGATATTCTAATGTTCCTTGCTTTCAGAGAGTACAATTCCTGGGTAAAGTTAACTACTTTCTCTTCTAATCTACTTATTCTCCCATCTTTAAGAGCTTTTATCTCATTTAAAAAAAATAATATTTAATCATTTCTTCTAGGTATTCATGTAGTCCTTGGGGAAATTCCATTTTCTCTTTGAGTCTGGGCACGTACCTTTATTAGCTCCTTCTTTTTGTGGATATAAAGGGACAGTAACACTGGAAAGTGACACAGTTTCCTTATTGATTTCCTGTACTTTACTCAATATAAAATGATTTTTTCTAGAGAAATATTCCATTCCAGTGAAGAAAAACTTATCTTATTCAGCGAGAACCAGTAATCAAGAATGTTCTTTGTTTATCCAATCAACTTTCATAAATCAACTTTACCTAGTCATCACATCTACTTTGTAAACATTAAACAAACATAAAACTAGAATTGGGTATTAACTTTGAGGTATAAAACAAAATTATTCTGAAAAATTTTGTGAAGGCCTTTAATTGTCAAAAGCAGTAACCTCTTCCTACCTTTCTATATGAATCTTCTATCGTAGGATCATATTTTTCAACAAATATTCCTTGAACAAACTGTACAGTCTGTAAAACAATCAGTTCAATTAATTAGATAGTTGAGTGTAGTGTCTGTCAAAGAAAACAGGATGCAGAGACAGAAATGGATAGTTCCTGTCCTAAAAGAGCATTCTACTACAGGGCAGGGGAGAGGAGGGTTATAAAAAGTTATAATCTATGATCTGTATGTTCAACAAGGAAATGATCTTGTCACATAGCAAAAGAGATGAGTATGACATTAGCATCTATGAAATAAAAAATCCAGAGAAATGCATTTGGGTAGAAACTCATCCAGAAGTAGTAAGTGGCATAGGTGGGATTCAACATAAAGTTCTCTTATGTTGAAAGCCAATGCTCTTTTCACAGAGCCCGGAAAAACAGCTTTCCAAAGTAGGGAAGCTCAGAGGTAGAGAAAAGCAATTTCTAGGAGTGAAGTCACCTTCACTTAAACTTTTTTTTTTCTTAGTCAATACCACAGCCTTCAATGGGCACATAGATAATATGCAGTACTTAATTGCAAAGTCAGGAAACGGATTTGGACAGGCAACATGAGGTAATGTGGAACACTGCATTCAGACTTCAGAGGACCTGGGTTTGAATGTCAGATCTGTCACTATCCACTCAGTGGCGGAGGGAAAGTCACCACTTCTCTGAACCCCAGTTTCCATTATCTGTATGATGGGGTGAGGGGTCGTCTACACTTATGACCTTATGTGATTTATGTTAAAATCTTTCCATTTTATTTAAATAAAAAGAATCTTATATATGTAACTTTTTTTTAACTTTCAATAGTTTTTTACTTTCAATAGTTATAGCCAAAAAAATAGACCTATAATGTACACACTAACAGTGTGATTTTTTTCTACTAGCATTGGGGACATTAGAACAATTTGTATGGTTCTGAGGGTAAAGGTTCATATAACATTAGATGGTCAAAGATCCTATTCTTTTCCCTCTTGTTTAATTAAAATTTCAATGCATTAAGTTTAAGTGAATTTACTATGATAAATTGTCCCTCCAATTCCCATGACTAATGATAAAATTAAATATACAGGCATTTGTTTTTGGATCCCTTGGTTTTCCAAAATCTATGTTATCCTGATGATAAGCTTGCTTTTGAGTATAACAAAAGCACGAGGGTAAAAATAATGTGAAACATATGCAAATATTTTAAAAAATTATTCACGAACGATAAAGAAAAACATACTTCAACTCCAAACTTTCTAAATCCTACTGTCAGCAACTTGAAGCTTAATTATGGAGAAACTGAAGGCTTCATACAATACACATATCATATATTCACATATAATAAAAATTTCCTTATAACAGAAAAAGAATTCAGAGAAATGTGATTGCTATTCATTTTCTGGTATTAGCCAAAAACTTGACCTGACCACAGTTGAATGGTAAACAATGAGAAGCTTTAAAATATAACATTAAATAAAAACAAACATAAAAAGGCAACATTCTAATCCTAAACTTTAAAAGACAGTGTTTCAAAAATCAATTTGTTCCAACACAAACAGAACTACTTACCAGGGCAGACTTTCCAACACCTCCTGAGCCAAGAACAACTAGCTTGTATTCACGCATGGTGGAAGATTGAAGTCAACACTTCAGTATCTAAAAATTCAAAAAATCCAAGTTTAAAAGCATATGCAAACAGTAACTCACTATTCATATGTACTTTGTAATAATTTTAATTAGGTTCTTTATTCAAGGCAAAGGACATGAATTTCAGCTACACCATTACTTTAGAATTTGAAAAAACACCTCTTTTCTGTGGCAATAAAAGTAATTAACTTTGGGCCCCTGTGGAAGATTAACCAAAAGAACCCATTCTATTGCAAAAAATGAATCCAGTGAATGAGCCTATTTTTGGTCTCTTGTCATATAGCTCTCAGGTTTTAAACAAACACCTCCCCCCTCAAATGCACAAAAATATTCTTTACTTAAATGTTAGCAAAGCCTTGATTGGGATACTCAGTGAAGTTGGGTTATCTGAGGAAAGAAATCAAAGGTTCACATGCAAAATCACCACTATGCTTTTTGTATCACCAACTGAAATAGGAAAATGAAATTATCACAAAAAAATCATTTCACAGGAATCTTGAATTGATGACCCATGACAATAGGGTATTATATATGCCACTGTACATTGGTAAAATGGGGTAACATTTGACCTAGAACCAAAATAATATAGGCAGACCCGAACTTTTTCCTATATAAAGTCCTCCTTACAAAAATGTGCTGGTTTTGATAGACAAGGATGAAAAAACTGATTATCTATGCATTACATGTATGGAACAAGAACAGTATTTGGCTAATACCTGTAATCAAGTAAGCATGTATCTGTAGCTTTATTTACTTGCAATACAAAGATTTTGGTTATTCCATTAATTCATCACAAAGGTCTTCAGACTTGCAGAACCACTTACAACTGAAGATAGCACCAATGTTTTAATAAGGCTTTTCACACTGAACAATTTTTGTAAGCAAGCATCTTACATGATGCAAGCAAACCTTTTAATATCAAGACATGGTTTTTTAAAAAATTTGGGTTTTCCCTATTTAAAATCTGGAAAAATGATCTTGTCCATGCCATTTCAACTCATTAGATTTCAAGCTATCTGCTGCTAAACAGCAAACATAGAACTCTTAAATTCAAAATGATTGTAACTTGTCTTGAGTTATTTCCATTAAAAAAAAAGTTGGAGGGTTTTTTTTTAGAGGAGGGTGATAGTGGAGGACAAATAGAACATATATAATAGTCATTTTAATTTCCATGCAATGATCTGATAATTTGTGCACATAGCATTAAATAACTAATTTGAAACAAATCTGTCTTATTCATGAAATTTGTTTCATTGAAAAGAAAAAAAGGTGGGTAACTATGTGGGAGCTGTACCTAAAAATATGTACGGATGTTGACCACATCTGATTTAAGTAAATACTGGCCCAGGAGTTAGGAGTCCTGGGGTGTAGTCCCGGTTTTTCCACAAGTCTTCTGTGTTAACTATGAGTTGGTCATTATTCTCTGTGTCTCACTTTCCTTATCTGAAAATGAGGGGTTTTGATTAGATGTCTAAGGCTTCTTACAGCTCTAACATCCTATGGCGTCTATGTTATTTAAAGGCTAACTCTCCTGGGTCTCAATGTCTCCTCTCCACAAAATATATTAACATGAGTTTATTATCAAGAGATATGTAAAAAAAAAAAGAGAGAGAGAGAGACATTGGTTAGAGAAAAAGGAAAGAAGATAATAAAAGTATTGCAGAGAGGAGTCTGGACCAATGAATCTGCTGCCAAAACTATTTACTCTTTGAAGTTCCTTAGATTTAGCCCTGACTCTTTCTTAACTGACCATTTAGTTCAACATACACTTGAAGACTATTTCCTCTCCACAGGTCCATTAGTCTTTGTCCAAAGACTTCTACTTCAGCTAGTTCTAATAGTTAGGACTTTTTCATCACATCAATAATTTTCATTATGTCATTAATTTGCCTATTTGCAACTTCCAATTTTACTGTCTCCAATGACACTAGGCAAACCACCTCCCCGGGCTTCAATTTCTTCATCTCAAAAAATAAGGGAGCTGGACAAGTTCTGAGTTCTAGACCGATGGCCCTAAATTTAAAAAAAAAATTTTTTTTGGTTAGGTAATGGGGTTAAGTGACTTGACCAGGGTCACACAGCTAGTGTTATGTGTCTGAGACTGAAGTTGTCCTCCTGAATCCAGGGCCAGTGCTATCCACTGAGCCACCTCGCTGCCCCCTAAATTTAATTCTCCCAAGTGACAACCCTTAGAATATTTGAACATACCTTTTAGAGGATTTTTTTGACTTATATAGATTTTCCACAAAATTTAATGGTGGATGACCTAAAATGGCATTCAGTTTAAAGACAACTATTTTCATTCTAGAGGTCAATTACCGTACTTTAAACTTGGGTGATTCATATTGCTTATTGCCTGTGTTAAAGAATAAACTTCTAGAAAAGTCCCTCCAGGTCAGTCCTACTGTGATCCCCCTTTTCTTCACAACTTATATATTCAACGTGTACTGTATTATTTTTTACTTAATACTTTGGTTTGTTCAAGCTAATTCATATTTGTTTTATCTCCTTCAAGTAGATTAGAGCTCCTCAGAAAAGGGCATGTTTTCTCATTCTGTTAAATTCTTCAAAACCTTTAGTAAACAGTACAAAGAACAGGTGTTCAGTAATTTTCTACATCATTTATTTACTGAGTTTAAAACACTGAATTTTTAAAATTGCCTGATAAAGGGCATTTTCCCTTGGAAAAATGAAAACTTACTAGTTCATGGATTATGTTACAAATTCTAATTGTTGAAGAATTATTTCCTGAAAAGTAGAGGCAGCGTGGTATAACAGACCAAGAATTGGATTATCACAGTTCTAAAAAACAAGTAAAGATTATCTCTCAAATCATAGCACTCGTTAATAAATGATAATGATAATTATATATAAAGATAGACCGCAGTAGGAACACTAGAATATTTGATGGCCACAAAAACTTTTCTATTTAAAAGACATAAAAGGTAATATAAATAAATTAAAGAAGCATGGAAGAAATTACCTGTCACACCTATGGATAGGAGAAAAGTGTGTGTGACAACAAAAGATAGGTTCACTGGACATAAATAAGGACAATTCTGATTACATAAGATTAAAAGTTTTTGCATAAACAAAACCAAAGAAGCTAAAATTGGAAGTAGAAAAATGGGATGGAGGGGGAAGAAGGAAATCTTTGCACAAGTTTCTTTGAGAAACGTCTTATTTTTAAATATATTTAGGGAACTGAGTCCAATTTCTAGGCAAAAACGAATCCCATGAAAGACATAGCTATAATTTAGAAAGGAGAACCACAGAAATACTTAGAAAGTCTTGGAAGAAAAAGTAGCATGGACTTGTGGATGAAGCATTGCACCCAGAATCAGGAAGACCTGGGTTTTAATCCTGTCTCAGATATCTTGCTGTTTGACTCTGGGCAAGTCATTCAAATTCTGTCTGGCTCAGTTTCCTTATTCATGAGACATTATATACACAACAGACAGTCTAGGTTTATAGAAGGTACTATCTCTCTCAAAAGGTAAGAAGAAAAATCCAGGTACTACTATCTATAATTTAACCCTAACTTTCTGCTAATAGTCATGAGAATAAAAAGTAAAGGTATTTAAAGAAATCTGGGTGGTTGTATAACGAGCTTGGGCTTTTAAAGAGCATGTACAACAGAAAAGAGAGGGATACATCATATAAAAGCCAAAAAATAAAGTGGCATAAACCTACACAAACAGTGTTTTAAAAAACCAGCAAGATGGGGCTCTTAAAAGCTCTATTATAGAGTGCTTTCCATGATCCCAAACCACTGCAAAAGCATACCTCTTATAACATTCTTCCCAGTGTTGCCATTGGACCATGAATTATATACATAGTCCAACGTTCTCAGAAGAACTAAATTTACAAATAAGCTAAAGGGCAATGGAAAAACAAAAGACGGGCATAATCAGGCTGTTACTAATGGTGATTCATGAAAAAGTACCATAAAATACAGTTAAAGAGATATATATTTATATAACTGGAAAAGAAGGTGGGCTAGCCACTGAAAAAGAATGAAGAAAAAAATCCCAATCCTTTTATTATAGTATGTCAAGAGAAGCTAAAGGAATAAGAATAAAGAAAGCCTCTAATGCTCTGAATAGTTCTATAAAAGAATTTGTAAAAAAAAAAAACCTTTTTAATAATTATTGTCCAGTAACAATTTTTTTGCAACTAAAGCATTGGGTTTTTTTTTTTAAACTTAAGTAGGGCTATTACATATTTTACCTTATAAAATGAGCCTGTCCTAATCTGTCAGAGTATTTTTGAATCCTCTCTAGTCCAGTTTGATAGCTTCTAGCATCTTCATGGATTGGTGGGTAATCTAAAATCCTTCTACTTTAATGGGAAGAGGGGGTCACCTGCTATTTATGTCTTTGTACCCCCCCCCCCATTCTGCTACAGCAGAGAGTTCAACTACATGCAGCCACAACACTCTGAGTGGCACAGAACCAGATTAAAATGTAATTGGGAAATACTTAACAAAATGAATAAAAACACAATGTGCTGCCTCTGCAGGCAAATGGACCCAGTTCCTATTGGGGTCTGCCCTCCTGTACCACCACCCTTTATTCTTATTCTTTTCAACTGTTTTAAGATAATATCTCCACCTGTGCTCTTGATTTGATGCTACCTCTACCTTTGGGATCTGGCCCCAATAATCACCCCTGGTTTTTCTTTTTGGGGGGTGGGGTAGGGTGGGTCTCCATCTAACTCCTTATTCTGATTACAAAAATGCACAGAACAGGCAAGGAAGCTCCCACCCCTTCCATCTTCTGTATTTGGTAATGCCAAATTGTCAAGAATCTATACTAAAGATAATTAATGTCTAAAGGAATGAGCATTTAATTTGCAGTCAGAGAACACAGGTTGAAATCTCAGCCCTTGTTACTTGCTACCTGTATGCCTTTGGGGAAAGTCCTTTAATTGCTGTCTCCCTCCCCCCTGGTTTCCTAACAGCATGATTTGTAAAACATCTCTTCCATTTCTAAATTCTATGACTCAAG